TCCATGCCCTTGTAAGAAGTCTTTCTCCAGCTTTCTGTTAGGCCCCATTGGTACTGGAAGGTGCTCTAAGGTCTCCCTGGAGCCTTCTCTTCTTCAGGCTGAACAACTCCAACTCTCTCAAGCCTGTCTTCATAATAGAGGTGCTCCAGCCCTCTGATCATCTTCATGGCACTCTGGACGCGCTCCAGCAGATCAACATGTTTGTTGTGTTGGCGCCTCAGAGCTGGATGCAGTACTCCAGGTGGGATCTCATGGGAGAAGAGTAGAGGGACCATCACCTGCCTCTGCCTGCTGGCCAGATTCCTTTGATGCTGGTGAGGCCAAGGATACAGTTGGCTTTCTGAGCTGGGAACGGACATTGCCAGGTCATATCGAGCTTCTCATCAACAATTTTTCACATCTTTTGTTTTGTTTGTTCTCATTCATTGATAGGTCTCACTTATTAGCTATTAGAGCTGTTAGCAGGAGTAATAGATCTTCCTCATTATTGTTAAGGTGCTTTACAATAGCAGTGCTCACATTCATCTGTTTTTTGTGATGATACATACATTGCAAATAGTGTTCCTTTCCTGTTTTCTTTCGCCTTATGCATGTTTTCAGTCCATGGTAATTGCATAGTGGTACACAAAGTATCACTGATATTTGTAATTTACTAATGTGGGAAGCTGTCCTTTTTTAATTACTTCTCCCTTTTTCCTTCTCTGTTTATTTGTGACAGGGATTTATGAAAAACATGTGAATTAAGATTTGGAAGAAAACCACGGTACATAGTAGCAATTAGCAATAGGTTACTGTGCTTTCCCCCCCCACTAACTGATTTGGAGTTTAATTTGAAGAAAAAACAACAGATTGTGAGAGATCCTGGTACAGTTAAAAGTAAAACTGTGCTAATATTGCTTTGTTAATAACAGTCTGACATAGCCAGAGTGACAGATTTTACAGCAGTGTTGTTTCACCAGTGACATTGATTTGTTTATCAAGGTAAACTGTTACAATATGCGGTAGGAAGTTAGATAGAGATCATATTAGGGTAACAGAAACCGAAAGTACATTTCCAAAAACCCAGCTTGAAAAGGAAACAAGAGTGTGCTGTTTGCCAACAGCTTTGTGCTGTCAGCCTGCCTGCCTGCTTGCCTGGCTGCGCAGTGTCACGAATCAGAATGGCGATATACAAACACTTACACTCAAAGGATATAATTAATTCAAACTATTAAAAAAAATACGTTTTAATAATTTCAGGTTCTGTACCTCTCACAGAACTTTTGCTGTGAATCTTCTGTTTTTTCATTTTCAGTGAATTCCTTTTCATATTGTGAGAGTTTCTTTGTAAAATATGAAAACAGCTGGTACAGAAATCTATAACATAAATATACAGGAAAATATTTCTTCAATTCCGGCTCAATTTATAATAATCACTGAAGTGTAATTTTAGCAAAGAACATAAAGATGTTTAATGATATTTCTCCTTCAATGTATTACTCTACAAAAATAATTAAATTGAGATAAAGAAGCAGTAATTGAAAACATACTGTGGTAGTAAAACAAACTCGAAGCATCCAGACAAACTGAAATTATCTGACTAAAGGGAAAATTCAATAGCGTTTTTTTAAATTTATCACTGGGAGCAGACACTGAATAACCTTTCAGGTCTCTTCTTGTAATGCATGCACTCTGTATACCTTTGTACTCAGTAAAATGTATACTTTATCTGTAGGAAAAGAGTTAGTAGAATAATACATGCCCTTGTTTTGTTTGTTATCTGTGTATAATTTTTTAAATCAAAAGCCTTTGTTTGTCTCATTCTCCCCTCTCCTCCCAGCAACTTTGGCACAACCACGTATCACACTCGATGATACAAAGATAAGTTCTTCTTGTATTTTTGTCATTTATAATCTAAAAAATAGGGTTAGCATTCTTTCCACAGAGTTGCATGTTGCCCTCCACTTTTCTGTGTTCCTGATGACTGTAGCTGCCTTACAGTGGTTCCTTCTACCTTCTGCCCTTTTCCTCTTCACCTGTTTCACATTCTTCTTATTTAACAGTTACTAGCTGTGAGTGATTTTGATTTTCCTGCTAGTCAGTTATTATGTGTTTTTTAGTTGGTTTTTCTTCAACCTTCTCCCAGCAAAACAAAACCCAAACCTTGTGTTTAATTTTGCTTCTTGAATTGCACAAGTGTTCTATGAAGTAGAAAAAGGAGAAAGTAGTAACAGAGTCAGATTATTCTTTCCTCTTGGTGTAAGACAATGAAATTCAGTGATATTATGGCAGAATGTGTGAAGTGGGAGTGGAATTCAACTGTTACAAAGCTGGAAGGTTTTAAGACAGAAGCTTATTGTCCTTAGCTATATGTTGGAGGTAATTCGTTTGAGCAATGGGTGATGGAAGAGTAATTTAATGTATTCTAGGGTTTTTTAATACTGCATTGAAACTTTGCTAAAGAATGCTGTATTCTCTCCTTTCAAAAGAGTTTAATGGCAATTGGCAACTGAAAGTTTCTTCAGAGGAAACAAACACATGTCTAGAATATTCAGTTATCAAAGAATTTTGATGACTAGCACAAACATTGATGTTGAAAAGGAAGTATTATGTGGACTGAAAATAGTATATGTAATGGTTAACATAGTAGAAAATTTTTTCCTTGTGTCCAGGTAAGTCCTATGTCTTGTTGAATATATAATTTCATTTAAAAAGAAAAAAACCCAACAAAACCCGAGGTGGTTGTGGGAAAGATAAGATGTTTCAGTCTATGCATGGTGTGGCATAGTGCTTGTCTGTCCAGTTCAATGATGCTCTTACCGAAAAGTCCTCTTACGAATATAAAATAGGTGCTAAAGTTGAGCCTCACTTTTGGTGTCTGTGGATATACAGTAATTATGTGATACGTACATGTGTGTATTTACGTAACATTGAAGGGAGATAAATTGATCTGATGTGTATCCAGATGCATACATTTTTAATCTAATATATTTAGAAAACACTGAAGTGACTCCTATTCCGCTGGCACTAATAAGTAAACAGAACTTCTGTCTATGTAGCAGTGCCTTGTAGTCCATAAAAATTGTTGCCTGCTGGAAACTAGATATTTGTGATGTATTTACATTTCTGTACTGCTGGTTTGCGATATACTAGTGTGTGGAGGTGTGCTTCTTGAATATTCTAATAGATACTGGTACTGTACTCATCTCTTTTTTTTTTTTTTGTATTTTCAGTGTGGGATAACCTCATTTTACAGTGTAAAATTGAATGGAAATGCATTTGCAGTTAGAAAACAACATAGTAAGATATCAGCCAATACTTCAGGGACAGAGAACGTGTGGAAATTGGCAGTGCTTGCTTGTGTTTCTGAGATGTATTTGCTGAAATTAGTATTTTTGTAGTCCTGTACAATTCTACTTGCCTTAGGCTGAATGGTGTGAAATGTAATTGAACTAATGACTCACTGTGGTGAGATCATTTTTAAGAATGTAGTGGGCTTCTGATTGTACAATACTGTGGCATGTATTTGCCCTTTTTTCTCCAGTGATGCTGCCTCTTTTTGCATTCTGTTTTAGTCTATCTGTCAAGCACCCACGGCACACCTTCATATCCCTCTCAAAATCCTCTTCTATGTCTGTAGGATATGCAGCGTGTCTTCGCTGTTTACTCTTTAATTTTGTGTTGTTTGGGTTAAATCTGTTGTGTGATATAGATCATGTACGATTCTGTTTTGTAATGGCTTCTGTGTGTATATAGGATTGCACGTATCCTTTCTTATATTGCTCCCTGCTGTATGCAGAATTTTCTTCTGCAGCCCTCAAAGAGTACTCCCACATGGTATAAATCCATTTTTCTAAAGTTCAATGAAGATAAAAGATAATAAATGTAAGAATGAACTTGCTTATATTCTTATAGGCAATCAGTGACTGTGATCGACATAGCCTTTAAAACTGGACTTAATCTCTTTGACTAATTCCTAGGCTGCTCTTTCTCTTTGCTATGAAGTGCTTCTTTGTTGCATCTGACTTTCTAATGAATGAGCTTTAGCACTAAACGTGGAGTTCTTGAGGATTTATTTAATTTTAAAAAGTAAAGTCATATTGTCAAGAAACCTTTCAAGTCTGAAAGCTTTTCTTACATGCTTATTTCAGATAGGGATGTAAACTTATTTATGTTTTGTGTTCATTATGATTTCTCTTTTCTTTCTTTTTAAATAAATTAATAATATTTTTGATATAAGAATGCTTTATTGGAAATGATAAGTAGTCAGTGAAATCATGTTACGCCATTAACCCTCAACATCCCACTTTCTCCTCCTTCTAGTGTTCAAAATAGAGAGAATAACTTGAAAGGGAAAGGAAGAAGAGCTACAAAAAAACCCCCAATAGTTTCTACTTAGGTATTTTGGGTACATTTCTTTTCAGAAGAACTTATTCCTGAAAGAATGTTTTTGAAGTGATAAATGTAGAGCATATGGGGAAAAAAAAAGCTTATTCCATAAAACTTCTGCAGCCTCTCAAATAAGGATTTCAATTCTTGTAGGAAACTAGAAGTAGCTTAGATGAAAACAACACAGTAAATGGATACAGTTGAATGCAGGTGTCATTGGGCTAGTTTTCACAGAAAAGCCAGTGAAATTATATTTGAATATATGTTGCACAGTAATTTCAGTTATCAATTATTATCAATCAGATAACAAAATTTCTAGGTAGAATTTGGATGATCATAAGTTGTAGTATTATTGTAGAATTTTTTTTTGAGTGTTCTATTCTGATAAGCTAAAGCCTGAGCCCAAGTAAACTAAGGTACATTAGAAACACTGGGATTTTTTTAACCACAAAACCAGTTTTGGCAATACACATATGATTAATAATTTAGGAATGTAACAGAAAAGAACCTTTTGTTCCCCTAAAACAACACTTTTTTCCGTATATGCAACTTCAGAAAAATGCTTCAGAAATCCTCATTTTCTATGTAATAGTTTAGTCAAAGTAGCTCTCATATTCAAGGCTATGCTCTGCTTGTATAAGTTAGTACTTATTGAGAATTAGCCTTTTAAGTATACTGTAGCTGGTAACACACTGGTCAGTATATCTAACAAGACAAGTGAAATCATGCTCATTGATTTTGCAGTTTTTTATTTTGTTTCCCTTTCCTCCCCCCCCTTAACTGGTAACTCGTTCAATCAATGTAGCCACTGTTCATTGAAATTATGAAATTTTTAAGGATGGCATGGTGCAAACAGCTTGTCAAACTTGTTTGGGTGAATATCTTAATTCTTGCTTACAGTGTTAGGATGATGGTAACTTCTTAACGTTTCTTGATTCTTCAATGCAGGTTTAAGAAAAAATAGAAAAAGAGAATATAGAAGAAAGGTATACCATGGCCACCTAGGGAAAACAGGAGTAGAGTAACTAGCAGTATTGGTGATTGTAACAAAGTCGTTGCATACCTAGAACTGAACATCATTGAAGGAGAAGTGAAGTAAAAATAATAAAAGAGTTATTGAGGGCAACAAAAATTATCATTGTCTTTAGCTGTGGCACTTAACAGCCATATCCTTCTACGTAGATGGATGAAAGTGATTGAAAAATCTCAGTATAAAAGGTCCCCATGTCACACTAGAGGTCTAGCTAACCCCTTCAGCTTTGCATAGGAGTGTTGGATGGTTGGTTGTCTTTTAGCATCAAGCCCAACAACTTTCTTGTCTGTGTTTTTTTCCCTCATTTAGCCTTTCCTTTGCCCTTAGCCCCTACTGTGTAATTATTCAAATGTAGAAACTGTGGATCTGAGATTGTATACACAAGACTTTCTACTTTTCTTAAAAATACTTTCAATTTTTGGACGAGCATGAATTTTTTCCCCCTATATAAAAAGTAACTGATTCTAAACCATTAACTGAAGGACATCATGTAAATGGCTTTCTCTATACGTGCATGGTAGTCATGTGCTGGAGAAATTTGAAATAAGTAGCTATCTAAATATGAGGTCAAAATGTGTCCAGGTTGTAGCTGCATAGCATTCAGAATGCCTCTGATCAATACTATTTACGAGTTAAATTTAAATATACCGTATCATGCAAAATGTTGTATTGGTGCTCCAGAAAAGTATTCCCAAGTGCAATTTTTCTTTAAAAATTCCTTTATACTTACAGAGAAACTGAGCCATACAAATATTTTTAAAAGTTTGCACTTCTTTAAGGCTATTTATTTTCTAAAAAAAGAGGACTTGAATATTTTTGACAAATATACACATGGTGTTACGCTAACAAACAGCCATGCAACATATATCTTACATAATGAAGAAATTGAATATACAAGATCTAATCTATTTAACATACATATTGAAAATATACAGTCTCGCCAATAGTTAAAAAAGTTTTTTTTCTTATTTGGCAGTATTTTTCTACAGTTTGTTCAAATATTCCGTTTGATGTGTTTTGGTGAATACTGAAATCTAGTCAGTGACAACCTGAGGTACTAAACATTTCTGCCTTACTTCATTGTCTTCAAAGGTAATCTTTTTGTTCCTTTTAGGCTCTATCCATGAATTGTGTATTACAGCGTTATTTGGCATGGGATCTGCTTCCACTATTGAAACCACTCGCTTTTTCATCTTACTTTTCAGAACTTTCTGAAACTTTTGCCTTGTGAATGCGTAAAGTAGAGGGTGAAATATAGTTGTTCCATATGCCATTACTAGAAAACATAATCTCAATTTTACCAAAAGGTCACTTGGGCCCAAACATAAGATGGTGGTGTTTAAAACAGAGATGGGTGTCCAGCAGAGAAGGAATGTTGAGATAATCAAGAGGGACATTCTGAAGACTCGCTTTTGCCGTTCCCGTCGCTCCCGGTGCCGTTTTACAGCTCGGCGCAGAGCAATTATGACAGACACGGAAGTCCTTACACCAAAGACAACATTTTTCCCTCCACCGCCCTGGGACACATCTGTAGTCTCATGCTGGGTGGTCAGAGAAATAGTTTTTTTCTTTCTGGCTTTCTTCTTTTGTCCTGTTGTAAATCTTGTACCAATCCGAATATTTAGGGCCTGGAGTATTTTGGTGTATGTAATTAGCATTACTACAACAGTGAAGAAAAATATTGGAATCTGAACGAGAATGTGGTAGTACATTCCTAGTTCAGTGTGGTACTCGTTTGTACTCACACACAGGAGTGTCTTATTTTCCCAAGTACTTGCACTTCGAAGACTGAAAAAGTTGACTTCAATGAAAGGAATCAGGAAGGAAAAAAGTGAAATGATCCATATTGATGTCATTAATATCACAGCCCTTCCCATGGTCAGAATTCGATTGGCAGGTTTTACGGAGATGTCGTATCGGTCCAGGGTGATAGCAAAGACGTTGATTGCAGTTGAAACGCTTGCAAAAGAGACACAAGCCTCATGGAAGCAGCAGATGAGAGCAGTGTTACTCTCCAGTGAAAGCAGAAGGATAACTATAGTTAGAGGAATACATCCCACACAAATTATTACATCAAGTACATGAAGGTTCATTGTAATTATGTTACTGACAGAATTGATTAAGTTGGATTTCATACAGTAAAGTACCAGCACGGTGAGGTTGCTGCCAAGTCCCAAAACAATTTCTAACATCAGAAATCCAGTGAGAGAAACTTGAAAGCTTAATGGATATGACAGTGGTCGGTACATGTTGGTATCGATGTCATCAATGGCATCTCGAACTGTAATGTTAGATTCAGACTGCATGTTGACTTCCAGAATGGGGGAGAAACACATTCTTTTGTTGCGGTTGGTTTTTCTCCTGAAAGGTGAAATAAAATATGGATCTATTTGATTTCTTTTTTTAACACTTATTTTAGACAAATCCTGGGGAAGGAGGAGGGAGGAAAAGCAACTATTCTTACCAAACTCTTCATTTACAGTATGTTTAGAGCTTTAGTTGGCACGGACTCAAAAGCCTGAGGATCTAGAATAAGGTCTTTCCTTTTAAAAAGAAAGCAGGATTTGCTTAAAAAAAGAAAAAAAATGAAAAGCTTCCACTTAAGGAGGCAAGGCTTTGTTTATAGTGATGTGGTTTTTCACAAAAGGCCCATTTGTTGAATAAACTGTACTTGTGCATAGCCTTTGTATTGCTTTGAGGGTCATTTTAGGAGCAGGTTGTTAAGTATTAACAAATTAGTGCTCAAGATCATTTTAAAAAGCTCTTGTGGAAAAAGAAAGTGATAGGAACATGGTTCACTGTTGCTTATGTATCATAAAAAGAACATTTTAATTATTTATGCCAATTTAGCCACCTCTTTCTTATGAAATTTACAGTTGTGTTGTGGGCTGAAATGGAAGTTCTGTAATTCAGGAGATTTTTACAGAGCTTGAAATTTTCTGTTCACTTTTCTCTTTTTATTTTTTATCTGCATGTATGATGCTTGCCACTGCAACAATTTTATATAAGTATATAAAATTTCAAATGCAAAATTTATGTGGGTTTGGGGAAATGGAGTTTATTATAAAATACTACATTTCCTTTTTCTGATTTGAGTATTCAATTTCTTCAAGAAATAAGCACCTACATGGAGTGGCTGAGTATTTAATTTTATTCCAGAATAGATTTAAGAAAATAATTTTAGAAAATAATACTTAGAAAATTGTTCCTTTTGGGTTTTGGTTTTGATTTTTGTTTTGGTTTTTGGTTGGTTGGTTGGGTTTTTTACAAACTGCAGTTAAATCCAGCAGATTTACATACATAGCAGGTTTCTCTTAGGAATAAGTGAGGTTAAAAAAAGTAGCATTTGTTACATCTAGGAGATTTTTTATTTTGTGGCTCACCTGCTTTGTTTTACACATGCTGGTGAGTCGTAAATGTAGGATCTGCATGTAATACCTGATGTTTGTATTGTTTATTTTGTCAGGCAGCACCTGAGTTTATAGTTGAGTGAATAAATAAAAGAGGTTATTCAATTTCTTGCTGTGATACTTGAGGGTTTATATTTTTTTTAGGTAGCTTTAAATTTAAGAGGGGACGTACTTGGCATGAAAATAACTTTGAATGCCGACCTTTGTTCTATTCTGAATACATTAAAATGGATAGCACTAAGGTGAACAAAAAATGAGCTCTTTTAAAATGAAGGTATGAATTAAGCACACTTGGGATACAGTATGCAAATGGATTTCATCTGCAGTTCTGAAAAGCCTCAATTGAACAATACTATTAATTGCAAATTGTATGATGAAAATTCTTGTTATTCTTCAACAGCTATTTCACATGTGCCTTTTAAATAAAAGAAGATGTAAATTAAAATGTGTTAATCTCAGGTGTGAAATGAAACAAAAAGTATTTCAAAAGCTTTGTTTCATTTCTAATTTAGGCAACCTCTATTCTGTTTATATTAACCCTCAGGAATACAATCTCCTCTGTGTATGCTGTCCTGGCTGTGAATGGATTTCAAGAAACCATTCCAAATGCATTGCTGGATAAATGAAGTTCTTTTGTATTAGCAAAAGCCAGGAGGAAATCAAAAGCAGATCTGCTAAAACAAATGACAGTCTCACCGTAACATTATGCCAACTGAAATTTTGTGAAAACAGAGAAGTTCAGATGTGCAGCGTCTTAGTGAATAGATTAAACATCACCTCCTTGTTGCATTGATTCTATTTCAGTTAAATAAAAGCAGAAACGTGAAGGCAGGGAGCTCATTTCCCCCGCGCATCCATCGCCTGTCTGGGTAAGTCCCTGCTCCCTGCAAGTGCTGAGCAGAGGTGGGGGCATGGACTGCCGACCTACCTGTTCTCTGAGCCTCAAGGGCCTTTCAGATCGTGGCAGCAGCTTGTCATAAATTGATACATGGTGTCACTGAGAGATTTTTGACATGTAACCTGGAAAGCAAGTGGTAGCTGGGGTCTTAATTCATTCCTTGCAGGTTTTTTTTCCTTTTTTTTTGTTCCTGCAGTTCAGCGGCAAAAAATTCTGATTAAACACGGGGACTTCTTAATTGCCTCAGATACTTCTACAGAGCAGGGCATATTCTGTGTGTCTGTTCTGAGTTTCAAGCCAGCAATAACAAATAAACCTTCTTTTAAGTGACGTTAATTTCTTTCCCCTGTTGCATTTTGTAGCAGCCTGCTTTTTTTTTCCAGGTTTAAAGAGAAATAATTTCTGATCTCTGTTTTCAGAGTGCATGTAGACATCCTTTAGTTTATGGTTGCGTATTTCTTTCTGTAATATTCCTGCTCATTACTTTTGAGTGATGGCTTAGTCAAAGAAGTTGCTATACATCATAAAATCCAGTTCATGTGCTTTGAGAGTAACCATGAGTTACCTAATTTGGTTTATTTTGATTTAAGGAGAATACATAGCATCATAAAATTGAGGGAAAAATATCCATTAGTCATTATGACAAATAAGTTATTTAATGAGTAGTATAGAAAAAGCTTGGTTAAACCTTTGTTCAGCTTGCTGGTGAAGTATGCATATTTTCCTTTTGAGATTTCATGTTTCATTGTCTCTTCATGCATCAGTAGTTTCCACAATTCTGGTTTTAAATTATAAATCCCTCTTTAAGAAATGCTCACCATTTTAAGAATCAATCATTGCACTCTTCTTTTAATGAAAATCTGAGCAGATGTGTTAGTCTTCCATGTATATTGTTGAAGTGTCATGCACGTAAATGGTAATACAAGTGTGTTCCATGTTTTGTTTCTAATTCCTTTATGTCTTAAGAATACATTTTAGTGATGCATCCTGCTGCTTGTAGGTCATACAGCTACAAAGATACCCGGTCAACTGCATTCTTCATATTGTCAGTTGTAAAACTGAATTAGTTGCTGCATGCCCTTGTGAAGGGGAGGAAAAAAAAGGTTAAAAGTAGGGCTTATAATTTCAAAATAAAATAATGCAAGAATATATTTTCTAATATCACTTAATTCATGAATAACAGATCTCTAAAATTGGACCTTACAGATTACATAGAACATCAGTTAGTGTGTTCTCTATTTGCTAATAAAATCATATTCTTCCTTCAGCTTACGTGAATTTAATTGTTTTGGACAAGTTTCCTGTTCTCCGGATAGTGCAGGTTACGAAAACCCCTGACTAGAAGCAATAACTGTTGGATGTCGAGTGTCTGTGACTACAGCTAGAAAATGTAGTTTTATAGCTCTGGTGAGCAGGTAGTTTATACATACAACTCTCTTGTCTTTTAATGAGAAACTGAACACAGTTAATGAGCCTTATAGGAAATATGCTTTTGGTTAATTTGCACACTGTTACAATTTCCTTTCTTGAAATAAATGTTTAGCAAATCCATGCTCTTAGTAAATGGCTTGAATATACAGGGTAATGAAAGAAATGAGTTTGAAAGAAAACAACAAAAAAGGGAGATTTCTTAAGCAATCAGAGATTAGTCGTATTAGCCAACCTTCATAAAACAATAAGTATACACTAATTACAGACTGTCTGATCCTTCGAAGAGTAACTGAATAAATCTGAAACGTATTTAACTGCCAATATTTGGAAATACTGCTGAGGGAGGAAAAACATATTCCCAATTGCATTATGTGGTTGTTTTCCCAATACTGTATGAGCTTAAACTGTCCTGTCTTTATGTTGTATGAACAAAACAGCGTCTTAATATTCTATAAGACTTTAATACAGAACAACATTTTTCTACCATTGTATTTTTAATGGGGAGGGGGAAATAGCATTTGAATATTTCCTGGCCTCAAATATAACAATATATCAGTACTTAATATAAGTTGAATCTGATCTCTTGCTTTTTTCTCCTATTTTTTAATTTTGTTAAATGTTGCTTATTCTGTATACCATAATAAGGAACAGATCTTACCTCCACTAAAGATTTGGTAAATTCTCGATGCAGGTGAAGCAGTTCCAGGTTGGAGGGATTCATTTTGTTCACTTGTTAGCAGAGTAGAAGGGAAAGAGGGTAATAAGCATATCTTCAAAAAATGACCTTAATGAAAATTTGTGCCTGTACTGTGCCATTGTTTCAGCATACTGCTAATGTATACAACTGCTTTAGTTCTGGTTTACAGGCTGCTGCAGTCTCCCACTCTTCCTACGGTAGAATCAATAAGCATCTGAAAATACATAATGAAAGTAATTTAACATACTGAAGGCTTCTTGTCTCCAGAGACACCACTGAGATTCAAGCTTTCTAAAAAAGAAGAGCAGTGCTTCTGAGAGGAAAGCTTGCGATGGGCAGCTTTTGCAGAATGACAGCCTACCTTGTCGCTTCTCCTCACTGCAGAGAGATGCAGTGCATTCACTAATTTTGATTGGTCAGTGATGTTGGGCTTAAATTGTGCTTCATATATGGGATTGATGCCCTCCCTCCCCCCGATTTATATAAGGATTCTTTTATAAAAGGACTAAATTTACAAATGATTTATGAATTCTGGAATATATTAAGGGTATGCCTGTTTTATTTTTACCTTTTCGCTCTTTACTTTGTGTACACTGGAAACCACATGACACTGAAAAAAAAAAAAGGATTAAACGTTTATTACTTAAAAAGCTTCCAACAATCTATATTTGAATTTGCCTACTTTCCATTTCTGAGGGTTTTTGGTGGCTTGGGGTTTTTCCAGTTTTTGTCCTAAGAACATCTCTGAAATAATACTGCTTCTTTAAGCCATGCTGAATCTCATCTTACATGTTTGTATGCAAGTGGTCGCCTAGGTCTTCTGTTCAATAAATTATTTTCAGCACAACTTGGTACCTGCATGTATATTAGAAAAATTAATGTTAGGATTCACAGTGATTATTCAGACCCTTAAAATGACTTGATAATTTAGTTAATTCATGAATCAGAAAAGAATGATTTTTAGGATCCACCACCATGTACAGTGTATGTATAGCAGTGAATGTTGTCAATTTTGTTGAAATGTTAACTTCTAAAAAAAATCTTGTATGTTCCTCATGAATTTTGCTAAAGACTTAACAGGTTTTCGTAAGGATGTCTTACATGATGTTCTTGACCTTCACTTTGGAGGGAGTGTCTTCATTTTCACTTTTTGTTTCATAACTTATTTCTGAATCTGTTCTATCAGTATAAACAATGCTCACAACCACATAATGAGAAATGTAGCACAATATCTGTTCTGACTAGTATTTGGCTAAATAAACCTTGGGAATAAATTCAGTATAAACCCCAAAATAATATTTTTAAAAATCTGTTTACTGAAACAAGTAGTTAAAAATACCTGAGCATAAAATGTTCTATGGATAGTTTTTAATCTCAATTGAGTATGGGGAGTGTGGGACTTTTTCTTTTTTTTTTCTTGTTTTAAAAGATTTTTAATTTTTTAAAAAAATTTAATAAAGTATTAAATATTAAAGTAGGGTTCTTAAATAAGCATTTATTAAGATGGCACTTTGGGTCAAATTTTGATGGGCTCCTTTGTTTTTAAGTTGTTAATGCAATTATTAAATGCATTAACATGTGTAACTCAGACATGTTTATTTTTTCTCTTTCTTTTTCGGATATCTCTCCAACATGTTATTTATCTTCAGGTAATGGCATACTTTATTTATTTTTTAAGATGGCTGCATATCCATCTAGCATGCTTCCTGTTCTGTACTCCTTTACATTCAGAAAATATGTAAATAAAGGTTGCAGAAACTTTGAACAAAGATCAGTAGGTACCAGCTGACTGTGCTGAACAGCAACTGATTGAGCCCTTTGAACTGTCCCTGTATCGTCTACCTCCCAAGAGCTTGAAACCAGTGATACCAGCATAACTCTAAAGGGTTAATGTGATAAAGAGGATTCCTGAAATGGAAACATAAATACTAATATATTAAAGAGGTTCACTTGCTTCACTTTCAGTATGACTTAGGATAAGTAAGGAAGCCTGTCTAAATTCAAACAGATGAATCTTTATCTCCCTTTCTAGTTCTTCAGTGTGTGCCTGAACAAAGATGGAGGTATTGGATGAACTGTACTTAGGAAGAAAAAGATGTACACACGGAGGAAGATTGTAACAGGACTTTGGATACAGCATGGATATGTGGTTCAAACACAGGCAAAGGGGTCACGAAAGACTACCTGCATCACAGAAGGTGATATTGGCAGAAGTTTTATCTGCAGAAAGTGTTTGAGAGAAATGATAAGGAGCTGAGTTGTGAACATATATTAAGCTTGAGTTTTCTGGAGAGAAAATCAGGAAAAGAAGCAGTACCATATGGAGGCAATCAGGAGTAGGTGGATGGGTAGACATGCTTATAAGCCATTGCTGTGCAGATGCTAGTTAAGATAGTGTGAACAGATGACATCATCCTCAAAGGGTAGATAGGGAAGAGTGGGCAAAAAAGAGCCATGTGCAGGCACCCAGCATAAACAGAAAAATGTGCTGTTCTTATACCTGTTTCTGTGTCAGTACAGAATGGAAGAGAAAGAATTTGCCTGGTATTTTGGCTTTTAGGGTAGTGAAAAGTGAGGTGAAAGGATAATGAAAAGATAGAAATATCAGGGAACAGCAGGAGTCCTGAACCAGGAGACTGGTGGTGAAGGGTCTTAGGACTGAGAATGGCAACACAAGGGGAGAAGGAGACCCAGATGGTGACAGAGAATAGAGCTGTGAAGGGTTGAGGCTGCTGGGTCTGATGTGGGGGGAAAATAAATGCAGAGGCAGGAGCTTGAAGCAGAGTGGAGCATAAGGGAACAGAGGCAAGTGCATTTAAATAGACGACGAGTACACAGGGGTAGAGAGAATGGCAATTCCCGTAGCATACACCCCTGTAGTACTTTTAATTCAATTCAGGAGTCATAATTATCTGTTAGAATATGTTCTGCTTTGCTGGGAGCAGGAAGTCCAAAAATATGGAAGTTACAGAGTATTTCTTGATCCTCTTCCACCTTTTATCTGCTGTCTTACTTTCCACACAGAGGAAGTAATGTCCTAGCATTGACTGTTACTGCATTCCAGAACGGTGGCAGGTCATCTGTAGATCTGGAGGTCTAAACTTTGCTGGGGATTTGCTAAGATCACTCTGAATGCAGCTTCTTGTATTGCAGTGTTTTAAATAAGCTTACTTTGTTAAAAAGACTCATTAGGATCACAAGGTCTAGCAGGGCCAAATGAAGTACCCAATTCTAATGTTTGCTATCAGCGTCCTTGATTTTGGAGCTTTAGCATTCTCTTAATGCATTTCAGGCTTTAACTTTACATAAAACCTACCGCAAACTATCTTAACATCCAGATATCCTGGGCGTTCATGAAGATCTTTATTGGCGCAGTTGGGAGACTGTGTCTGCTCACTTCCCTTGTTCTCTGCATTGTTCTTTTTTCAGTATCTGTGATAATGCCCCCTGAATGCTTCAGCAGCACTTTCTTTCTTTGTACTGCATGTCTTGTTTCCTAGCCTGAATCTTGCTGCTCATTTGGTGACTGTTTAGAATTTTACTGCTTCTGGGTCTAAAAATGTCGTGTATTCTCATATTTGCAAGAGACTTGGGCTCCTAACTCATACAAATTTTTTAGTGCCACATAATGTCTTTAGAGCTTGAATTACTTTTGAAAATGGATATCAGGTGATTTTGGACATCTTGCCCTGGGATTGTTGTTTAGCATTATTTACATGGTGCATCTGCACAGTTCCAGCTGGATAGATCCTTCTGTACCTTGCACTTACCTACTCTGGGCAGTGTGATGCCCAATTCTAACACAGCTCTTCTGGATATTTTATGGTTTATATCTCTTTTGGCAGCTTGTGATCCATATCTAAAACGTGTTTCTTACCTTGTTGCATCTTAGTTTTCTCAATAGTCAGTTGCAAAGAACTTTGTTAATTGTTGTTGAAAATCCGTATCAAGGAAAAAAAGCAGTGGATAATAGCTCTTTGAGTTTGGGAGTTGCACTGATGTATCCTTGTTATCCTGAATCTGTGAATGTGTTCTGCTTTACCTGATGCTGAAATTATGGCTTGCTGGCCTGGATCATATTGCAGCATGCTTTTATGTTGAAAAGGTGTAAATCTGATTCTTGTGCAGTACACAGGTTCTAGTCATAAAGGTTTTATTATTATTTAAGAGTGATATGCTGAATAGATGACAAAAAAGTCTGCTAGAATTTGTATATAAGTACCATTCTGAGTCAGATGATAACAGTCTTTTCTTTCTTTTGGCACAAGTACTTTATTCTCATTTCTTTATTCTATCAAGAACTGTTCTAAGGCTGTTATTCCTTTTCTGTAGTAAAGACTGACATCCACAAAATTAATTTTCCATTCAATGTCCTATTCTTAATGCTTATTTTTTCTCTCTTATTGTTGATTGCCATACAGCTTGCTTTGTTTTGTTATTTTTCTGTAATGACTTATTTAGGTTGGGTTTTGATTTTTTTCGCCTTTCTTAGCTCCATATTTCCCTTGTCAGGAAACAGTCTTACACATGGGACATTGTTGGTCTCGATTTCTCCATTTTAGAATTACATCCATAGAAAAATCTGGATTTTCCAGATTAATTATAGGTTGTTTCACCGTGGTTCCTCTTGTATTTGCAAAGATGAAGACCTTTGGAAGCAACAAAAAGGCGAGTATTTTTACACTGATATTAAAATATATTATACATAAACCATATATACAAAATTCTATAATAGTATACATATTTTGTATTTTTCTATGTAATGTATATATATTCATTTTTCAAGATGCAGAGTTCATGTTAGCATAGCAGCCTGAGTACGGAAAAGTTAGCTACTTATACCACGAAATAAGAATGTCTTATAAGATTCATTTGGGTTTGTGTAATTGTTAGGCATAGGTTATTTGTTCAGTAGTATTCCATGTTAGTTCAGCTGTTGACCTTTTCAGCACTGGAAGGTTCTGTACTCATGAGGAAATGTGTAAGTTACAGAATGCCCTTTAGCTATTTAGACTGAAACTGTATCTTCTTTTAGTTTTGCACAACAAGGTGATACCAAAGAAGAATTGCAAAACCAGTGCAATTCAACCAATTGCAAAATCATTCATATGTAGAGAAAGTATCCTTTTCATATCATAACAATAAATTTGGTGAAGTGATATAGCTAAATCATAGTCTTGGTGTATTATTGCACAGTTATTTCAGTGAAAAGAAAAAAAAAGTATTCTCAGTTATTCTCAGGAAGAAAATATGGCTGGTAAATTTAATAGTAATTAAAATAACATCAGTCTGACTCCAGCTTTTCCCCATGGAGGTGATTTGTCCTCTAGTATAAACATTCATAGTTAACGGTGCTGCATCTCGTAGTAGTTATTGGCAAAAGTTTAACTAACTGTAAAATTGAAGGTTTTTTTCATTTTCTTTAAAAATTGTAATATTGCTGTGAATTTAGTTTTTCCTTCATTAAAATTCTGCTTTGACTACTCTGAGAATTTGAGAGATTTCTGTTTTTGTAAAATATTCTTAGCTCTAAGTTGGCAATTGCTACTGAGTTCTAGTGAGGGTTTCCATATTATGGAAAGGCTTTTGGAAGTTCTGGCATCATATAATTTGCATTGCTTTGAACATACAAAGAAAAAAGCCACCTGCTTGCATTGTATGAGCTTGTGCAAGTGTGCCTGAAAGAACATTGATTCCCAAAGTTAGAAAGTAGTTTAGCACGGTAGCTGGAATGTGCTGGAGCTGGAGTCCTTACCCTGTGTGGCTGTAGAATGAGGAAGTATTGCCTTGTGGTTTGAAGTCCCAGATGGTTGCTTTCCTTGCTTTCATCAAGATATTTTGTATGTTGGAAGAAGGTTTTGGTATTATTCCCTGCTGCTGTGTGGCTGTGTCTCCAAGTCGTAGCTCCTGACAGCTCTGTGCTAGTGCATCGCAGATCAACATCGATATAGACATGTCAGTAAGCTTTCTGCCTGGCTTATTATAGTGCACTGGATTCACTGGTAGCTGAGCTTAAAATGCAGAGTTTAAACTTCAGGATCTGTTTCAGAATTCTCCATCAGATATCCTTGTTGCTGTGATTGTCATGCCTAGCCAAGTACGTGGGATGGGCAGCTGGAGCAGCACTAGATACCCCGTTACAGTCCCCTGATGCAGGGGTTGGGTTACAAACCTTCCTGCTGTAACAGCAATTCCCTTATGTGGAATTGCTAATTTAAAACAAAGTGACAAAAGACGAGGGTTTTCTGTAGTTGTTCATCAGAGATCTTGGATGGACTTTGCTTCTAGTAATTTTTTAAAATTGGAAGGGAGTACCATTTTCTTTTAATTAAGTCAAACTGTTCAGATGGCATGCCTAGTAGTGACAATTCTTCTAGCTGAAATTAAGAGACAGGTCTTATGATCTAAATTGCCCCTTAGTAAAGAGTGAACACAACATGAAGAGGTATCACATAAATTTTGTCCCTTTAAGTTTGTTAAGATCACCCACAGTGTCAGGTTTACTACTAGGGTGACTTTATACATTGCAGTTTTGCTCAGCTCCTTGGCTGGTTTGGTTTGAAGAGCTACAAAAACCATGTGAAAAAGATCCAGTAGGCTTACTACCCTTAAAATCAAAGTTCAGTGACCACACACAGTAACTCTGCATGTTTCCACATAATTGCAGTGACAGGAGCATACTTTGCTTTCTTCTGACAACAAAATAAAATCTATGGATGGTAGTTAGATTCCCTTTCTTCTTGTGAATGACAGATCTAAGTGGTTAAAACCGTGTCAGCCCCTGCATCCAGTTCAAATGTAGGAAGTTGTTCACATCAGTCTGATAGAGGTGAACTAAGTTAGTGCAGTGTGTTGGATTCACATTTACTCTGCTAAAAAAGTACTGGATTGATGTGCATATTGATCTAAATTGAGATTTATGTTGGTATCATGTTCAGTTTATTTTCTTTCTTCCTCTCTTGTTTGGGTTCAGTCCTTTTCATAATCTGTATCCATAACATAGTTTAATTTTTTTAATTGATTATTGAAAAATACCTCTTATTTTCTTCAGTGAATAAGTGAAAGAGAAATATAATACCCATCATATTTTCTGGGGTTTTTAAAAACATATATATTGTAGCTCTAGAGTCTAACATAAATACCTAAACTATGTTAAAATGCATGCATATGCATGCATATGAAGAGCTAATTTTGTCTGTGAAGCCTTTCAAATATCAAGGGTTTTTGTGCCTAAACCATAGTTTCGGGTTTTTTCCATCTTCTAAAGTATTTTTAACTTCACTGCATAATTGTTGTCTTTGAAATCACTTACTGTAATACTGAAGCAAACCAGAGCTTGTATGAAAAATGCTTTCATTTGCTGTTTTTTGGGAGAAGGCTGAGAGCAGTAGTGTCAGTGGTATGTCTGAGAAAGGAAATACTGTTTTGGTTTGTATGTGGTTGATGCCTGGAAGTGGCTTTGCAGTCATTAGGCTTGAAGCCTACATTTTGTTTTGCTAATAAAATCCCGAGAAATTGAAAGTGGTTGAAAGTGTCACATTTTTATTACACTGATGGATGATGAACAAATACGTTTATGGAGAAAAAACTTGTCAAATTCTTCATCAGCCTTCACTGATGGTCTGTGTAATGAATTAAAACGTATAGGTAAAATGAGTTGCAGTGATAGGAGCTATGAAGTGTAGTTGGAGTAAGAAGGAGGAAGAATGATTTGCATTATTTCTTGTACCTTTCAAGGTGAGAAGCTTCACTATTACTAGGTAGGCTGGCAACTCTTCAAATTGATAGCTTTGGTTAGGAGCTCCTGGAGGAACAGTGGAAGATGGAATATAGCAACTGAAACAACCGATCAACAGGAAAACCACGTGAGTTATTACATACTGACTCTGCCTGTTACCATGCTGTCTTTCTAAAAAAGAAATTGCTGTTCTGATACAAGTAGAGGTCTTTTCTAGTTCTCATTCTTTCCACAGTAGATATGGTGCCCAGTGAGAAATTACTCCGTCTGAGAGACAGCTCATGGAGAACATTATTTCTCTTATTAATCAAGCAGATTAGTTTTAATGTGAGGAAAGAATGAAAGGAAAGGAGAGTCTGCCCTTTGAAAGTGGTTACTATTTTAAGATTGCTGATGGTTAGATTGGAAATGGTTTTCTTTAAAGTTGTTTAATGTTGTAATACCTTTTCCGCTGTCTTGCTCTTGAAGAAGAAAGAAAAACTCAGCCAGCCTTTGCTGTTCCCCCCCACCAGGGCAATTATTTTTTTCCCTGCAATTTTTTCATATATTCGCCAGAAACTTATTTTGTTCACCGCCATCAAAAAATTCTAGGCATCTACCTATTTATTGGATTCTTGCTAATACCCTATTTAACACTCCCACTCCAAAATCTTTAAGCTGGCATAATTACAATAGGCAATACAGGTCTAGGGCAGAATACTTCAATGGGGATTTTCTGGTGGTTTTTGAGTGCATCTGTATGTAAGGACTCCATGGCTCTCAGTTAAATGCATACCCTGATAAATGTTACAGGCTGTGATGATAGCAAGTACTTCAGACAGTTTGTGAGAGTATAAAAGCCACTCTCAGTAATCTTGAAGCCTGTAGGCAAAGCAGCTATTGCAGTGTACTTTGTGGCAATAAAGATTGATATTAGACACAGAAGTTTTGTTTGTATTCAGTACCCTTAATCTAGAGCAAATTTATATGGACAGTTAGAGATAGTGGATTAACATTTAAACTAAGGATTTTAGCTGCTTGTCCAATGTCCTTGACCGCAGTGCCTGAGCATCCTGTATCTGCTTCATAGTTTCTCTTCACATTATTCTGTTTTGTAGAAAAACAGTTCAGTTATGTGCTAGAAGCCTAGGGCAGGTCTGGAAAGTCTGTCTGTATTTCATGAATCTATCCAGTCTCTATAA